CACGCACGCACGCACACACACACACACACACACACACACACACACACACACACACACACACACACACCGCACACACACACCGCACGCACGCACGCACGCACGCACGCACGCACGCACGCACGCACGCACGCACGCACGCACGCACGCACGCACGCACGCACTCACGCACGCACGCACGCACGCACTCACGCACGCACGCACGCACGCACGCACGCACGCACGCACGCACGCACGCACGCACGCACGCACGCACGCACGCACGCACGCACGCACGCACGCACGCACGCACGCACGCACGCACGCACGCACGCACGCACGCACGCACGCACGCATCCCCACACACACGCACGCACGCACGCATCCCCACACACACGCACGCATCCCCACACACACGCACGCATCCCCACACACACGCACGCATCCCCACACACACGCACGCATCCCCACACACACGCACGCAACCCCACACACACGCACGCATCCCCACACACACGCACGCATCCCCACACACACGCACGCATCCCCACACACACGCACGCATCCCCACACACACGCACGCATCCCCACACACACGCACGCATCCCCACACACACACACACACACGCATCCGCACACACACACACACACACACCCGCACGCGCGCAGACGCACGGGCACGCGCGCTCGCACACCCACGCACGCACTCACGCACCCACCGCACACCCACCCACGCACCCACACGTGCACCCCCGCACGCCCGCAGGCACGCACACTCATTACGAACGAAAAATATCTGGATAAAAAGTGCTTTCAAGCAACATTGCTGTGAGACAAATGTGTTTTCGTTGGCAGCCGGTATTTGAAGCACACACTGGTCCAGCATAGTTCCACATGCACACGCACGTGCGCACACACACACACAGAGGGAGAGGGAGAGATAAATTTGGACGCACGAGCAATTATGGTGACTGCTCCGTTCCCCTCATAAATGGAGTGACAGCGCAAACAATTGTTGGTTGTTTTTGGAACGCACAGCCTCAGGAAACACATCCAGGGAGAGGACTTCGAGTTTTGCCAGAAGGCGAAGACGAATATATTGAGCGAGGTGGGGGCTGATGTGAACCACACGGAGACTTCCGTGGTGTGCGATGACGAGACAGAGGTGCCGCTTTTTTCGCCCAAGGAGCGGTTCCAAAAAGGGGGCTCTTCATGTTGGCGCAAATAAACGCAGCCTGTCTAGAGGTAGTGTGGCTTCTAGCCGCCCCTATGATGGTGCTAAACACGGATCGTATTTCTTAGTAGCCTCTGCGGGATTTGCTTCCATATTTATCGGCATGGAAGCTGGAAGGAGAAGACTTGGCGCCGTGACAGCTCCTTTATGGTATCTAGCCACCCTTATGATGGTTCCAGACAGACACAGCTCATAAAAGTGGCCACGAGCTCAGTAATCCCAAGTTTGGCCCTTTTAAAGGCAATGGAACCAACCATGCCCAGAGCCCCCCAAAAGCAAAAAAGGAGGCTGGGACCTGGGTCTGTGATGGTCAAACAACCCGCGCAGCACGGGCAACGTGTCGCTTGGCAGAAGAGTTCTGGTTGCCCAGGACAGCTTGCCGTACTATGAAGTGCAGTGCTGCCCGGCACAGGCGACTTATTGTGCTGGCTGCGCCAAGTTGAATTCAGGCGGGCGGAGTGAACTCAGGAGGGGCGCTTAGATGCTTCTCGGTTAAGAAGGGAGTTTTGGGCGCAGAAGTGGGACATTCCGCCAATGTGGTCAAGTGCGGCGCATAATTAGTACATATAAATATATACCTAGAAACTCTTATGGCTGAGACTTCAGCCGGAATCTGAAATGCATCCATTTTCAGCCGCAGTCACAGACATTTGCCGGACTCAGCAGAAACAGCCGGAATTATCGCAGAGGCTTAAGGAGAAAAGTACTCATTGTCGCCGGAAAGGACTCAAGTTTCCTATTCGGAAAGTTTCACCGGAATTGTGGGAAGTTTCGCCTCAATTGCGGAAAGTTTCGCCGGAATTGCGGAAAGTTGCGAGACACACGCCGCCCAAAAAACAATGAAATAATTATGCTCAAACTGCCAGTTGAAGAATGGCCGAAAGGCTAAACAAATGGCCGGAAATGCAAAGAGAATAGTTTTTCGAACAAGGCTTTTTTTGGGGGGCAGTTTGATGTTCTAGGTATATAAATACATATCTGCTTGTATTTATATATGTTATATTTGTTTATTATTTGTTTGTTTAACATTTGTTTATTTATTTATGTGTGTTTTTTTTTGTATTTATTGATATGCTCAACCCCCGCCCACTCAGGCCAACCTTTCTAAATACAAGCTAGCGCAAACATTTGTCTACAACATGGCGCTGCACCCTGCAATGTTAGAACAGCACAGTGCCTTTGGTCAGTGGCATTTAGCTTGGGCAGCGGGGCGGGGTTCTGTAGCTACCACAGAACATGTAATGTAATGTACTATCAATATACATGTATTGTAAAGTAATGTAATGTAATGTAGTGTGAGGTGTTATTCCAAGGGGTGACGTGGGGTTATGTAGACCAACATGGAACCTGCCGAAAGTTTGCTGGTGATTGTTAGAGCTTGTGCAATAGATTATTTCGTCATGCGATCGTTCATTCTGCATCAATTTGCTTGTGTGCACGTGCAGGCGGAACTTCTTGTGCCACGTGCAGTGGCGGCTACGTGATGAGTAGCAACAAGTGTGTGGCGCGACTCGCCGGATTTCACGTCACTTCGCTCCTTTCCCAGCGGAATCCAGAGGCAATAGGCCCGCTTCAGGGTGTAGCTTCTGAGCTTTCACCTTGTGGCCTTTACCACAGCAGCCGGGCAGCCTTAAAGCAAGTTTCGAATGTTTCGCCTGCCGGCTGACCAAGGGTGGGATGGGAGCATCTTGCAGGAAGCAAACAGAAAATCTATGAGCAGTACAGTCTGCCTGCGCCCCTCACAATGGTCCCCATTCTGTCCTTTGTCGTATTCCGCCAGTTCTATTTCTCGCCCCTGTCGCTTCTTGCCTTACCCTTTCAGATCAGTGAAACACTCGATTCTCGATGAAACCTAGCACAGAGAAAACACCTGGGAGCTTTCTTTGCTCGCACATGCCCTCTTGCTTGGTGCGTATAGTGGATCATGCACCGTGAAACATTTAAAAGGCTTGCATCTCCCCACCATACCCCAGCTTTTGAATGGAGTCTTCGATCCCGTCTCGGTCGGCTGCCTGGGTACGGATCACAACCGCAGCATTCAATGAGGGTGGTTGTGTGTGTGTGTGTGTGTTTGTTGAGGGTACCCGCTTTTGAGGTTGCTGTAAAAAGGATTTTAAAGTGAAGACCACCTACGCAGACATGTTCGTCTCCAAATGGCGGACTCCCAATTGGATTGTTTTAAAAAACGAAGGACAAAACTGGAGCTGGGTCCATATTTGTGCTTACGGCGAAGCAATGCGCACGCATGTTCCACGCGCCTTTGGTCTCAGGTGCGTTGACCTGCCCTGGGAGAACGCACAAGGAGAAAACTGCCACGCAGCCTCCTGCTCAAACTCCAGGCGACGTGATCGAACCCTGCGCTTGACGTGTCCTCTGTTTGCAACCGGTGGATTCCGCCCTGTGATTTTTATGGGGATGGATCCCCCATTGAAACTCAACCAACCAAGAAAAGATGCCCTTTTTCCCCGTGGCCACTGGGCATCTGAGTGTCTGCAACGGGTATGGAGGCGTTTGGCGGACCATCGTGTTGCAAACGTGTGCTCACGCATCGGTAAGAGTTCGACGACACTCATGGGAAGTGGCCTTTCAGCTTGCAAAGCACAGGTTGTTTTGGGCAGCGGCCAGACTTCACGGTGGAAAATGATGACAGAATGAGCAAAACCACGATGATGCTTTGTACTTAGGTCCCCCAGTAGTGCCCTTTTACTCTACCCTTTTTTGGGGGAGGGTTCCCGTACCAAACTAGACTACAGAAAACAGTTGGTACCCTTGTTCTATCCTTTCCACTGGAGGACCTAGCTGATGCTTTCCACTTATGGCTGCGCAACTCAGACTTTTGGGTGGAAGCCTCTGAACAGCTGTGACGTTCGAGCTCTGGCTACGCTGTGCCTCGCGTGCGTTTTTCAGTTGCACTGAAAACGGCTGCGATGATCGAACTGGAGCTGCCAAAGTCAACTTCGCTCACCACCCCTGGTTCTCGATCATTAAGCTCTGCTTTGTTCATGTTTTGGCTGGTTGTTTCAGGCTTCAGGAGGGGCCCTCAAGGAGCGCTGGCCAAGTTGGGTTGGCAAGCAAATGCTCCATAGGCAAAACTGGACTTCCTTTGTTTGTGCTCAAATCTTCCAGCGAAAATTCTTTATCACCCCCGGAACCCTCGCGTGCTTGCCAGTGCCGGTAGCCAGAACATGTCCCCACTGACCCACGTGTTTCAGTGGCATGCTGCACAAAATGGCTGGCTTGCTCAACTCATTGCGGCCGTTTGAAGTAGTGCCCTTTACCCTATTTTGGGGGAGGGTTCCCCTACTAAAATAGACGTCCTGAAAAAAGTTGGTACCCTTATTCTGACCTCTCTACTGGAGGACCTAGGCATTGTACTCTGTTGCCTCGGCTATTTCACAAAGTTTCTTTTCGTGCACTGGACCGTTGGCGATTTCTGAGCAAACGCGCTCGAGGGGCTTCTCAGCGTGCTTCAGGAGTTGCTTCGTGCCGAAAATCTGGTGATCTGCCGCTTGCAAGAATGAGGCAGGCAGCAACAAAAACGAGCAACACGACAAGTTACCCCAAGTCAGACCACCCGTCACCCCGCTGGGAGCTGAAGCGCTCAAACTCGAAGAAGCAACACGCACTTCCGCCGAAGACCTAAGCAAACTGTCGAGCGCTACGGCTGAATATATGACTGGTCTTTGACCATACCTTTTGCTCAGCGATGCCTAGTCTTTTCAGCTGAAAGGGAAATCAACTACGATTGGGGCTCCCAAAATTTGACGGGCCTCCAAAGGAGGTCGTGTGTTTTCTTCAATACAACCAGCAGCCTAGCAATTTCGGCTTGATTCAACGCCACACTTCTGAGTTCTCAAAAGCGAGGCAGACAAAGGGAGCATAGGTGTCCTTTTTGGCTGGTCTGCTTAAAAGATAGAGGGCCCTGGTTTGGATGGGGTGCATGCCCCATTTACCAGGGAAACCCATCGATTTTGTCCAACAGGCCACCTATGAAAGGGGGGCTTTCGCAAGGCAGTCGGGTTTCAGCTCCAACGCCGCCTGCTGCAAATGCGGCGGCGGCCAGCGCGCGGCCACCCCGTCGCGAGCCGAGAGGGGCTGGACAGTGCCCGGCTACCCCTCTTGGACGCCTTTTGGTTGGGATGGTTGCCCAAGGCCGACCTTTTGTTTGGTCCATTTTTAGTCATGGCCCCAAAAGGTTAACCTTTTGTTTCCAGGTCTTTTGGGCAACTGAGGTGGGATGGTTGGGTTAAAAGGCAAACATAAGGAAACCGGAAGCAGTTGCCATTTCAGGGGTGTTCCCTTTGAGACAAGCCCAGATACCTGCGCCCAATTCTTAAGGAGACACCAAGATGGGCCTGTCTTTTTCAGCGCTTGTATGTTTCCGCAAGGTCGCTGAATACGCGGGCTTTGTTTTTTGCAGGATGCCGATGCTTGAAGTTGAGAGGAACCCAGGTTCGTGAGACAGCAGGCTTTGGGACCGCGGCCGGTCCAAAACGTCCATAAAAAGCATGTCTCGTGCAGTCCCTAGTTGTTGACATGTCATCTTTTGCTCGTGGTTACCAATGGTCATCCCCTGCCAAGAACCTTTTGATCAACCTTAGGAACTTGACAGCGAGTCGAGCACCTCTTCCTCACTGTCACTGGCAGAATGTTTGCATCATCCATACTGTCTCTGCCGTCAGCTACTTGTGGCGGCTTGAACATCCTAGAGCCTGCAGCGCTGCGTTTCCAACTTGTCAGCTATATCTGTATGTCAGTTGAGCCACAGTGTTGGAGTCCCTCCAGCCTTGGCCACACAATAATTCACCAACAAGTTGCTACCGTGAACTGATAACAGGCAAACCTCACTTCCTGAGTTCATGAACTTTAAACTTTTGGGGAAGACCATTTTATTAGTAAACAAGTTTGGTTACTTTTTGCGGGCCATCCACTCAGCAAGTGAGAAACTTGTGCGACTCAGCAAAGTGGCGCCCCGCACTTTCCCTAGCACTTCACGTTGAAAGACTCTCTCAGGTTTGAGTACTACGTGGGGCCGATGGCCATCGGCAGCAGCCATGTCGTGGGCCACCCGATTCCCCGCACGGCCAGCCACTACGCAGTTGATAAGGACATGGGTTTTCGGTCACCGTTTTGGGATCCCATTTTGGTGGGTAGGTGAATTCACCACCCATTTTTGAACCTATTTTAGTTGGGATTGGGATCGACAGGATTTTTTGGTCAGGTGGAGTTGCCACCTGCCTGAATTGAACAAGGCAACTTGCCGCGAGCGGTCTGTGAGTGGAATTGCCACCGACCTAGCTTTTTGAGGGGTGGTTGGTGAGTTGAACAAGTGCTCGCATACAAGACTTTAAAAGGACCACTGCGTGATGCTTGTTCCTGAACCGGGCATATTTGACCGTAAGTGTGCTTTGTAGGTTGGTTTGGAAATGGATGGCACTGGTTTTTATTGGGTTTCTGCCCTATTTACCAGAGCCATCCATTTTTCCAAAAGCTCACGGATGGATTTGACTAGCTTCCTACCTGTCACTCCCGCTAGGGATTTCGAGCAGTTTCCAAGATTCTAGCTGTGTCGGTGTTGTGTGCAGCTTGACAGAAGCTTCACCGGGCATGTTGGGTGGCTTTACCTGAGGTAGCGCAACGAACATGCACAGAGGTTTGGTCGCGGCAAATGGCCATCGGGCTTCCTGGATTTGATTTTTTTCTTAGGCTATGCCCCTCGGGCCCCATTGCGAAAGCCAGCGTCTAGAGACATGGGCATGTAGTTGAGGGTACTTAAGTTTTCGGGCCTCGGAGCACCAAAAAGAAAGACATTTTGAGGGGTACCCAATTTTCAGACATGTCCCTGGTGCACCGGTCTGAGAATGTTTGAGCTCGTTGCTCTTCTTCGGCGATCAGCCCGACGATTTCACTAGCCCCCCAATTGCCTTGCCTACTTGTTGCATGACCGTATAGAAGCACCAGGTCGGTCTCCCAAGATGCGGATGGATGGACAAATTTGCCTTACCTACCATCTACCCTCCCATCCGCCGCCACGTAAAGCCTCACGTTTTGGAAGACGCCTTTGAAAACCCTCTGGTGGGCTCCATGTTACTGGACAAGAGGGTAACTGGATTAAAGTTGTTCGGCCTACTTTTCCTGGCTCGGGTCATGCTTGAGAAACAATCACTTGAGAACCGAGCATCGTTTGTTCTTAGATTTTTGCATAGCCTGTGCCCAATTTGAGCCCCTCGGGTACGTTCAGGCTACATGTCTGCATGATCAAGCTCTTACCCCGCTTTCAACATGGTACCAATCCCGTTTACAGGAAAACCGTCATGGGAGGGTCCCATCATGGGAGGGCAATTCCACTGATTCGGCAGCGACATAGCGACGCTTTTGCTTCAGGACTGCGAGATGGCGAAGTTTGGGCTCCGCATCGATCCTACGTCAGGAAAGCTGGAGCGGACTGCAGGGTGCCGTGGACCTGTGAGACCTTCTTTCCGGTTTCCCGAAACAGGGGCAGAGACGCCGGCAAGGCCACGTGTCCTTTTTAGGTTGTTTGGTTTTTAATAGACGGCACTGGCTTGAATTGGTTTTATTCCATTTACTAGGGCCATCCTTGAATTGGAACTATTTGACCTTACCGCATGTGTCCATTTCAAGGCTATGGAACACCGCGCGCCGATGTGCATAATTGGTTTTGCACAGTGAGCCTTGCTGTGACGCCCGTCAGATGATGCAACAACCTTTTGAACCCCAATGAATGCAACTCGCTCACGGCCTCTGCCTTGTCTCTGGTTTGTGCCATAGGCCCCGTAGACCTATTGCGAACAATTGATTTCTTCTTTGAACCCACAAAAGGTTCTTTTCTTTCTCTCAGGGGTTTTCCTTTGACCCTACAAAAGGTTCCTTTTTGTGAAGGGGAAGATCAACCCAGTGGTCTTGCAACACTCTAAGCCTCTAAGCCGCTTCACATGTTGAAGATCGGAGGGCAGAGAGAGGGACCGGAATGTTGGGAGTCACTACGCACCATGCTCTGACTGTAACCTTTGGCGTTTGACCAATAATCTGAGCGGTCTTCGGCTGCAAGCTGGGTGAATCTGACCAGCCGGGACCAAGTTGCATGACACCTTTCTTCATGTTGACCCCGGATCGAAATAGAATCCGTCCTCATATGTCATAGGGAGGCGTCGGGCCCCAGAAACGTGGTCTGAATCCCCACAAGGGGCCGGGGGGTCAATCAAGACTCTTGGTGCCCATTACCCGCAGGCTCTCTTCACAAGTCTTTCCCAAGCTTTGGACATCCTCAAAACTCCCCGCCCCCCCTCCCCCCCCCGTCACACAGCTCCGAGCTAGGTGCTCCACGGTGGGCTGCGGCCTGGTCACGAGCTTCGAGGTGAAGTGCAGCGTCACGGCCCTGCAGGCGATCCGCGATCCGCGATCACTGCGCGGTCCGGAGGTCCCTCCAGGTCTGAACGATGGCCCCTGGACTTCCATTCTTCGGGTCGTTTTGTTGAGGAAAGCCCGTTGTTTGTGGTTTTCAAAATGAAACCGAAAGGAAAATACACCATGTTGGGAGGGGGTTCCCCTCAAAATGACACCCTGGCTTTAAAGGGAATCTATCCCTATGTTATTTTTCTCCAGGGAGTCAAGCAAAAGGTGCAGGATGGGTTGTCCACTTTACCTCGCCACAAGTGGAGGGAGGGTATCCGTTTTCAGTTTTCAGGTGTCACCCCTCAGAAGAGGAATCACCAAAACGCGATTCCGCTCAGAATGACGTTGTGGATTCCATGCTGCCTAGTCTGCTGCGAATTGATGAGTTGAGTCACTGAGTTGCTTGATTGTTTTACTAGCATACATAAATGAATTTTCATAAATGTGTGTGTGTGTGTAAAGGCTCTGCTGATAGATGGAGATCGGTGATGTTTGAGAGTGGGGAGAGGTTCAGTTCCTTCCGACCTGCCGCCGTCGCCTGGTCCTTGTGGATTCCACGACTGTAGGTTTCTGCATGTGGCACTGGAGAGAAGCCAACAATATCACTGGACTGGCTGATGTGCAATTAAATATTTACTTGTTTCATTTGATTTGCGCCGAAGCATGCGACACCGTGTTGTTCCGATTTTGTTTAACATTTGTTGTTCAATTTGACCGGACACCAACGACTTTGTCTCAAGGTTATTGCCCAAGCCAGCCGCGATCAGCCGGCCAGGCGGATGGCTTGTCCGCCTCAGCTCCGTTAGTGGCATCTCGGATTTCAGCATCGGCTGGGTCAGCTACGACTTTGATTCGATAAAATAATCATAGGCTTGTTGGTGTCAAAGCTTTGACAGCGGCTATGTTTGTTGGGTGGCAGGGCATGGGGTTTTTTGAGGATAGACGGGTGGGCCTTGGTGATCGATACTTCCACTAACTTGGGTCATTAGACGTGCTTGGATTCAGATGGGGCACAATTCTGGAAATTCCAGCAGAGTCGCTGAAAACCTGTGTCCTTCTGCCCATTTCGCTGATTGCGCCGAAGTTTGCCACTGTCAGGTTATTTGCAGGCAAAGGTGCCAGACACAATGGTGCGCATTGGCAAGTGCGGATAGACTGCCTTTGAGGCTATCATTGTTTCTTCTTCACGCATACCCATCACGCATTTGGACATTGGCGCGCAAAACCTTTGCAGCTTAACTTGCCGAGTATGCGAACCTGTTCGCAGCCCTTTGATTCTTGATCAGCCTGTGTCAACACCTGAAGGTCTAGTCCATATTGCACTTGTTCAAGAGAGACACACTGTTAGTTTAGTTTGGTTGCTCTCTCCACTGTAACTATGGCATGGTGATTTGTGTATTCCTCAACGGAGGTCAGTCCATCCTGCCAGTTTGTTTGCATGACGGCATTCCTTGGCTTTACAAGGATCACATTCCAGCCACGCAATGCGTCCACCGCACAGCGTGTGTTGCCCAGGTGTCCAGATGTGTTGGCCACCAGCTGTCCCCGTGTGCGGAATATATATTTATATATACATATATATATATATGACTGGTACCCTTTTCGGAGTTACCATAGGTGTCCTTTTCCGGTTAGTTTGGTTTTAACTAGATGGCACTAGTTTAGACGGGGTTTATTTCATTTACAGGGCCATCTAGTTTTCCAAATGGCCACCTATCGGAGTGGCCCTTTGCTTGGTTGCTGTATAACGAAGGGAACCCAAAAGGGAAACTAACCAGTTGTTGGTACCCCTTTGTGGGACTCACCCCTACAACGGCAGCGGCAGCGGCCACGGCGACAGCAATAGCAACAGCAACAGGAGCAGAAAAAAGTGATACCCGATGCGTTGAAAGACTTACCCAAATCCCCAAATGTGATCGCACGAAACGAGGCGATGTTCCAAAAACAGCTCTCCCCACTGGAAATGATGCCAGCGGCTCTCCTCAGAGGCCCCTGGGGCCTTTTCTCAGGCAGGCTGGGCGTCTGTGAGAGCCCCTGGGCTCGCCGCGAGGCTATGGTGGGGGAGCTGGGCTATGGCAGCGGGCCAGTGGTCTTGCGCGGCAGCAACTCTGCTGCCCCTGTGACAGCGCCGGGGCTGTCGGGATCCTTCTCTTTGGCTTGCTCTCCGGAGGCGGGACAAGTAGTTCATGCTGGTTGGTTGGTTGGTTGGTTGGTTGCTTGCTTGCTTGCTTGGTTGGTTGGTTGGTTGGTTGGCTGGCTGGTTGGTTGGTTGGTTGGTTGGTTGGGTTGCTTGCTTGCTTGCTTGCTTGCTTGCTTGCGTGCTTGCTTGCTTGCTTGCTTGCTTGCTTGCTTGCTTGCTTGCTTGCTTGCTTGCTTGCTTGCTTGCTTGCTTGCTTGCTTGCTTGCTTGTGTGTTTGTTTGCTGGCTTGGTGGCTTGGTGGCTTGGTGGCTTGGTTGGTTGGTTGGTTGGTTGGTTGGTCGGTCGGTCGGTCTGTCGGTTGGTTGGTTGGTGGGTTGGTGGTTCGAGGGTCGGTTCGTTGGGTCGTTGGTTGTTCAGTGGCCCTAAGGATCTCTTGCACTTTCAATTGTACTTCAATCCCCTTTCCCCCTTCAAAAACAACAGCACAAGTTGGCCTTACCCTTTGGGTGGGTCGACTGATGCTGTTATAGCATCATGTGTGATGGCGTTCCTGCATAGCAATTTGATATGATGCATATTCACTCCTGCCTCTTGACTGTGCGCACCTGTTTCTCTGGTTTCCCACAGATATAAGCACTGAACATCGTGCAACTCTGGTGCTCAGTGGCTCTGTAAATGGACTGATGCGCCTGAGCAGCTAGGTGCCCAACGGACCTGGAACCCGTCGCTTGAAGTCTGACACGTGTCCTGAGGGCCTGGTTTGCGATACCGTTGTTCTTTTTGTGATCATCTAACCACCAGTCACTCCCTTTTCAGGGCTCGTGACAATTGGTTGAACAATCGTTCTTGAATCAAAGCGGAAGTTCGCTTGTTCAAATGTCCCACCCCTGTTTCCTGGTTCCCCCCCCCCATCCGCTGCTAGCTCTTCCGCACACGGTAAATCTGTCCCGAGGGATGGGCAGGCCCGATCGCGATCGCTGGGTGCGGTTTTGTGTACGAAAGGTATGGAACCCGAACAAAAAAGCGCCCGTGTGTAGAGAAAAGAGTGGCCGTGGTTGGAGGAGTTTCTGTTGGACATCCCTCAATTTTTTGGCTGAGGGCGCCAAGTTTCGCCAGAATCCTTCAAGACTGGCATGATAGCAGGAAGCACATTGCTCCCCTGAAAATTGACACAGGGTCACCCTTCTGTGGGGACCCCTTGACGCCCAACCCCGTTGGGCCACTCTACTTGTAGTAACCTGTGGCATGTTATTTGCAAAGCGTTGGATTCTACCAGAACAGAGCTTGGTGAACTGTCGCCGTGATTTTTCCCCTTGGTGAACTCCACAGACTCAGTTGTTCAGTGGCACCCTTTTCCCTTTTTTTTGGGTGTCCCCGCTAAAAATGGTCTTCCTCAAAAAGGGTTCCCCTTTTTTTCCCCCGGGTCACTGAACTACTGAGTAGAGCCACGTGCTCCAAACCCGGGTAGATGAAGCTTGGCCCAACCATAAACTGGTGCAGCCCCGGGGTTTTGGGTCTCAGGGTCAACTCAGAGCTGGTTTCGACTCGCTAGGCCCAGTGGCTCTCGGTGAGCAGCGGTGGCGTCCTCTCCCTTCGCTCCGGCTCCGGCGGCGAAGTGACGGAGCGGATGCGCGCAACCCCGCGGGGTTTGTGGGGTTCAAACCGATGAGCCACTGGCTCAAACCCCGGATATATGAGGAAGGTTTATGTAAGGGACGGTAGCCAGCCAGAAGAAATAGCAGTGGATATCCGCCCTCTGAATTCTTGAAGCATGGTTCTGGGTCATCCATTTTTATGCCGGGGTTTGATCTCGACTCAGATGGGGCTGTGTGTTTTGTTGGATTACCCCTTGTAAAGCGGTGTGTTTTCAGATGTTTGTTGGAGCACCACGTTGAAAGGGGATGGTTTTGAAGGGAAGCCAGCCGAAACCCACAATTTGTTAAAGCACTCAAAGGCAGACACACAGCCAGACAAATCAATCTGGGTAGCTGGTTGGAATCATTTGTGTTGATTGCCTTGCAGTTTCCTGGCTTGGCACCACTAGGGAACAATCACCATGCCGTACAGGAGTCTGGATCATGAGAAATATGCCGCGTGAACCTCGAGAAATGTCCCTTGGTCCATGATCCAAGTGCGTTGATCGAGTGGCTCAGTTTTCCCGCTCATGATTGTGCTTAAAGCTGCGCGAGACTTGGGACACCTCTGCAACAAACCCAGACCTCAAGTTGCCACGAGAGCAGAGAACCGGTCCAACTTAGTGTATGGTATTTCAGGGGTGGGTCCGAATTGCCCCAAGAGTTGGGCTGGTTCCGAAACTGGATGGCTTCCAGCCTCACATCTCTTTTGCCCGGTCTGGTTTTCATGGTCAGACGTAGAAGCAGAGGCAAGTGTCCAACCCAGACCAAAGCTTGAAAGTTTTTTTTGGCTTGCTATCTCCAGATTTAGTAGTTTGGTAATTTGCCCAGAACCGTCTGCGAAACATACGCAGGCTTTCAACTGGACATCATTGGATTGCCAAAGGATAAAGTCCATGTTAGCTTCCTTCTATAGGACACCCCCCCCCCCCCCCCCCCCCACCCATCTCCACACCCCTCCCCACCCCTCCCTGCCCCTCCCCTCCCTGCCCCTCCCCTCCCTGCCCCTCCCCTCCCTGCCCCTCCCCTCCCCCCCTCCCCTGCCCTGCCCCCCTCCCTGCCCCTCCCCTCCCTGCCCCTCCCCTCCCTGCCCCTCCCCACCCCCAAAGTCCTATCCAGGACAGCAGTGGCACCACGCTGGGGCGTGGGGCCGTGTGCAGCATCGCCAAGGGCACAGGGAAGGCGCACATCCCGGTGCTGGCCCCTCAGAAATGGAACTCCATGAGCTTCTCGGATGAATTGAGCTGTGTGCTTTGACTCGGATGGAAATGGACACCCCCTTATTTGTCAACTCCTGTTTATTAGTATGGCTGTAGGTCAAAAACAATGGGATCCCATTTTGGGGTAGGTGCACCACCCATTTTAGAACCTATTTTAGTGGGGATTGGGATGTTCGCTGGGGTTTGGTGCTGGTTGGTGGTTGGATTGCAAGATCCTTATGTCAATGGAAAGTGAGCTTCGGATCAATCTCAGGACGTGAGAGGAACCCCCAAACGTAGATACTTTCCTCACCTTTCCAAGGGAACCACCCCTGATTAGCACGGTCCTCCGGATTCATCCGAAGTCTCGTCAACACATTTGTAGTTTGACTTGTTGTGATGTCGTGATGTCCTATTGGTTGGCTGTCATGCAGGATCTTGTATCCTTGCAGGAACCCTGTTAACTGGACCCCCCAATTGACCAAAGGTGTTTTTTCTGGGTTCCCATTTACCCCTAAACCAAGAGGGGGACAATCAAAGGGTTGGGTCAACCATCGGACCCGCAGAGAGGGTTTTCCAAGGAGAATGGTGTTCCACCTCTGCAGGTTCTATGTGGGTGTGTCTTTTTTGTTTGTGGGGACCCAGACAATTGTGATTTGGACTCCCAAAACAAAACCGCAAAAATGTGGTTCAATCAGGGGGCCACCCCCAATTCGAGGTTTGAATTGATGGTTTGGGGATTCGAACCTCTGCTCTTTGTAGAGGGTAAATGGGAAACCACCCCCGAACCTCCAAACCACCATCCGAACCACCAAGTTGAGGGTAGCTGAGCCAACTCCAAAGCAAGGCGAGCCACCCATGTTTCTAGGGGTACCTTCCCCATTCTTTCAGCCTTCTTTCTGCAAAAAGCCACCCCAAACCCCGAAAAACAGTGGGTTTTTGAAAAGAACGATGGTTGAAAAGAATGGACACGGAATCAACCCCTAGAATGTTCATTCGGGGAAACCGACTTGTAGGCTACAGCTACGGGGGCAGCACCGTGCTCTACGCCACGGTGGGGGAGCGCTCGCCCGTGCTGCCGGTAATGTCCTCCGGCAGCGGGGTGCCGCCCACCCGCACCTTGGAAGGGGTAAGAGCATTCAACCGGAAACCGAGGGGAGCACCTGAATGTATGGCCAACAAATGGTTAGTTTCCCTTTTGGGTTCCCTTTATTCTACAGCAACCAAGCAAAGGGTAACTCCAAAAAGGGTACCAGTCCCATATGGCCGTGGTTCAAAACCAATGAAATCCCATTTTAGGGTAGGTGCATCACCCATTTTAGAACCTATTTTAGTGGGGATTGGGATGTTCACTGGGGGTACGGGGTTTGACCCATGGCCATATTCTTGGCAAAAAGAGTTGAGGGGTCAGAGAAGATGAGGTTTTGAATCTCGCGGGGTGTTCGGGATCTATTCCATCACAAAGCAATGCATCGGACATGCGCAAACGGGAGGTTTCTATGCTCCCAGCTTGCGTTTAGGGGAAGCCCCTGGTCAAGAGAAGAGAAGGGCCACATGTCCCAACACCAACGGCGTCTCGTTTCCGGCCAAATGGTCCTGGCGGTTCTGCAACCCCACTGGGAGCCATGCATTTGCCAGTGCAGCGGCCCTTCGCGGGTGGCAAATGTTGCGTACACCGACTTCGTATGTGGGCCTCGACACTGTGTGGCCTATGGCGAGCTCGCAAAAACGAGGTCCTTGGAAGATCCTTTGAGGTTCCCTTGACTTCCATTTGCTGCAATGAACAATTATGTGTTTAATGTTTCCTTGTTGGCTTTAAAACGGAATTTATTGCTACTGGACAGTCCAGAGGGCTTCAACAAATTGAAGTTGATTTCAGGTTTCCAGCTTCCACATGTGTCGCCTTAGAGCCACCACGTTTTCCATCTCCGAGGCTTCTCCGCGGACTGTGCCGACTCCTCCTTTGCTTTCGACCAGCTCTCTGGGGTGGCCACGTTCAAGGGTGCACCGACCAAAAAATGGCGGCCGCAGGTCGATTTTTTCACAAGCACAGCAGGAATTGCTCTCTGGTTGGCGGGAGTTGCCACTCTTACGGAAAAGCCAATCTTGATGAACCTCAGCTTGCGTATGCAAGCTGTCGAGTTCGAAAGTTGCGGGCAGAATGCCCGTTCGCTTATTCCCCCTGATATGAAACGGGACCCCCGAGTAACAAACAACATTTGTTCCCCATAATCGTAGCAGGAGCACGGAGTTCCGGTCTGTCCTTTTCGGTCCTCTCGTCCAAATGAAGTTCCCTGGCCCAAAAAAAAGTCGTTCAAAACTGCAATGTTTAAATGAAGAGTTCAAAGGAAGCCATCCAGTTTCGGAACCTGTTGCCTTGGGCTTCTGAGGATTGGGGGGCCCGCAATACGGCTCCTGTTGGCCACGATGGGAAATCGCTAGTGAGTGTTTGTTTAGAGTTTGCTTTTGTTAGGGGGACCTGATTTCCAGGAAGAAGGGATTATCGTACTGATCGAAGACTACCGCGTGCAAGTCCGCAGTTTACCCAGAGCGCATGTGCAAATGCCATGTTTGTTCACTGAGCCCCTTGGGCTTCTTATGGCAAGGCCACGAGATCTTTGCGCTGGATGTGAAGTCTGGTACACTGCAGCTGCAGCCTGAACACTCCTTGGTGAAGGCCTTGGACTCACAATCCGCCGGGGCCATAGCGATCTGAGCGGACGGACAAAATCCATGCCCCCCATCGGCTGGACAAACCCTATGAATACTGGCTGATAAGCCACCAGGTGCATACATTTTCGCCATCCACGGTAGTTGGGTGAGTAGGTTTTTTGAGCGGGTTTCCTTTTTCGAACTTACATGGAACACCAAATGGCAAGCGAAGAACATTTTGGGGGCTCCCTTAGACAAGCCTGCCAAGCGCCATCCCTTTGTTATTGTTTTTTTTGTTTTCCCATATAATATCAATCAGCATCAAAAGCTCCAAATTTTGCCGTGGCTGGGCAAGCAAGATTGTTGCAAGTCATTTGTGCTGTGCGCATGTCGGTAGAGCGCACGATTTCGTTGTCTGTGTTTGTCGGTTTTTTCGTTTGTAAACAGTTGGCAGCTTGAATTGGTCTGCCTGTTGGCCAAGGGACCCCCAAGCTCCCCCAAAATGGACAGCTTTTCATGTTTGATCCGTCTCATGTCAAACAACCCTGGTTGGATTCGACCTCGGCCTCTCCTCCTACTTGATATTCCAGAGTCGAAATCTGAAAATATGCGGTGTCTTTTCCCGTGAATTCCCAGATCTGGGCCAAGAATAATTTGGCTTCTCGAGGTAAACCATCCAAATGTGCACGGCTAGGACCTACCCAAAACTGTGTCTCCTCCAAGGGCTATCTCATATATCAGGGTAAACAAAATTTACGAACCAGAATCCTCCATTTGCTTAAGAATATTGTTATTTTCCCTTGTTGGTCTTAAAAGGAATTCGAACATGCTTTTTTGTGTGTACCTCGAGAGGCATCCCTCAATTGGTGATTTGGATGGGTGGTTTGCGGAGTGAACCCTGCTTCCCAAGCCAAACGGGAAGGGGTAAGGTGTGTCCGATTTGAAACTCAGCGAGCGGTAAAGGAACCCTGGTTAAGCCAAATGGGATGTTGGTATCCCTTAAGGTGTGTGGTCCGCTTTGTAACTCACCGGCGCGCAAGGGAGTGCGCCGGAAGATCTCGCTCAGCTGCACGGTGTTCGGGCACTACGAGTGGCAGCCGGCTGGCCAGGGCCCGGTGTTGACCCACCGCCTGTCGCTGGAGCTGAGGGACGGGACGCTTGGCGGGAGGTGGAGGTGGGGGCATGTTTTTGGGAGGTGGGGGAGGTGGAGGGGGATGTTTTCGGGTTGGAGGGTGAAGATGTTGCTGCGAACCCCTAAAACCTGGGGAGATCATTCTGTGGTTTGGGTTTTGCGGGTCTCTTTTATGAGCAAAATGCAGCCTCAGGACCTGCTGGGCATCGAAGGTCCTCAGCTTCGCGAGCCGCGTAGACAAGGGCAGCCATGCGCTGGACGCTTGCCGCGCCCTGTGCCGCTCGGATCCCTTCTGCTCCCATTTCCAGGCGCCGGGTCAACCAAAATTAGGTGTCAAAAATAGGAAGAATGAATCGGCCCAAAATGGAACCCTGCATGGTAAATGGAAAAGTAGACTAAGACCTGAGGGCCCCTGGCTCTTTGAGCCACGCCCAAATTGGTCGCCAGACTAAATCGTTTCAGTCGGAAAAAGCGGGCCCGAAAGGTGGCGAGCAAGTGCTACTTCTACCAGGGCGTGTGCAAGGACTCCTCCCACATCGCTTGCAGTCACAAGGCCCGGGGGGACAAAAGCTTTGAGCCTTCTTGGTATCGGTGCATTGCAACAAGTTTCTGTGCATAGCCCATGAAGCTTCAGCACTGGAGCTTCGAGATCTAGCTTCCAGTTTGGGAATTAGAGTAGTTTGCTCAGGTAGACGATAGATTCCCTTGGTTTCGGTTTGATTCCACCACTGGAATCCATCTATTCATCCGATTTTGTGTTTTTCCGCACGCCGCGCGTTTGCTTCTTTCGTCCAGGACGTCTCGGTCCTTGAGCACTACCCCGGATGTGGGGAGCGAAGCAGCTGCATCGATGTGAAGATCCCGAACTTCCACTACGTCTCGGGCAACAGGGCGATTCGGTGAATGGTGAGACCCCCAAAGGCCTTAGATGTCAGCCCATTTCCTGAGAATCGATCAGCAGCCCATTGCTTCAGGTGAGGACCTCAGCTGGAAACAACTGGGCCTGTCATTGTGAGGTCATCCTTTTTGGGTTGCGTTTTGGGGGGCCGGGGCGAGCGACCCAACACCCAGGCAAGTACTGCCCGCGGGGCGAGAATGCATTGACGGACAGCCAGGGCCCGGTGTACTTCAAGCAGGGCTTGACAACCAAGGACACTGGTTGCATCAAAAGCTGCATCATTATTCATTAGCATGCTCGTGGTTCTTTTGTTTTCTCAGGGAAATGGGAGCCATGGCGACCAATCGAAGGGTGCTGCATTTGATTTGAATGTCCCAACTTGTGTATTTCGAGGAGACCTTTTGGCTGCAGAAGTTCGCCACTTGGCGAAGCCGCTGTTCCTTAGGGGACTGGGCGATCTACAAGCCGAATCCGGCAAAGGACTGCAGAAGCAGTGTGCGTCTTTTTCACGGGACCCTCCCAGAATTAGTAAATTAGTGGATTCCCTTTGCGTTGAATTTGAGATAGACATACGGACACACAAGTTTGAGTGAGGGATCGATGCTGAAAGACCCTGGGTTTTGGGGGGCCGGGGCTTTCTAAGGAGTCTTCCGAACCCCTTGGCAGCTCTCTAGCTTCAACTCTCATGCAATGAACTGCTCAGCTCTAGCGGCCTAGCGCACGTGGCCCTGACTCTGAAGCAGGTTTTGTCATGCAGTACCATCACTGGAAGCTTCATGGCTCCTGTGAATGACCGTTTCTTTTCCACCCTTTTTAGGATTCGGGTAGCTTTTCTTACGAAGACTATTTTTTATGGTTGTTTTCGATGGCCTCCAGGTTAGTCCCCCCCAAGTGATTTCCACTTTGCGGCAAAGCCATCGTCCGGAGGACTACGATAATTTGACTTCAAGCTATGTGGAGCTGCACGGGGGTGTGGTGGCCTGTCTCTCCGGCGCTACAGATTTGGCCTCTGACGTCTTCTCTTCCACCTCCGTGCAACTCACGGCGTTCTGGCGCAGAAGATGGGGAGGGGTTAAAAGATGGATTGAGATTGTTAAGCATGTTTTGTTGTTGATGATGTAGCTCTGGTTCCTTGGTGTTTTGCTCGGTTGGTGGCTTACCTAGTTGTTTGGTTAGTTGCTTGGTTTGTTTCGTTGCTTGGTTTGGTTTGGTTCGGCTTTGTTTGCCTGCTTTGCATTGTTTTGCTTTGCTTTGCTTTGCTTGCCTTAGTTGCCTTGCCTTGCCTTGCCTTGCCTTGCCTTGCCTTGCCTTGCTTGCTTGCTTGCTTGCTTGCTTGCTTGCTTGCTTGCTTGCTTGCTTGCTTGCTTGCTTGCTTGCTTGCTTGCTTTGATCGACTGATAGATTGACTGTCTGCTTGATTGATTGGTTGGTTGGCTGATTGAGTCATTGTTTTGTTGATTGTTTGTTGCATTGCTTGATCGGTGTATTTATTTGTTTGTTTGTTTGTTTGTTTGTTTGTTTGTTTGTTTGTTTGTTTGTGTGTTTGTTTGTTTGTTTGTTTGGTTGTGTGTTTGTTTGTTTGTGTGTTTAAGTTCTTCTTTGTTTAGTGTCTGTGTGTGTTGTGTTTGTTTGTTTGTTTGTTTGTGTGTTTGTTTGTTTGTTTGGTTGGTTGTTGTGTTGTGTTGTGTTGTGTTGTGTTGTGTTGTGTTTTGTTGTGTTTTGTTTTGTTGTGTTTGTTTTGTTTTGTTTGGTTTGTTTGTTTGTGTGTTTGTTTGTTTGTGTTTACGTGTTTTAAGTGCTTGTTTGTTTGCATGTTTGTTTCATTTTGTTTGAAAGACTCGTGAATGTCTCTGATCGATCACGTATGGCAATTGCTGGTTGACCTGGTCGTTTCATCTATTCAATGAGAAGGCCACCTATATGGTACCTACTTTCAGATTGTCGGGAAACCTCAAGGACACCAACCATTTTTACTGTTTGACACATTTTCTCCGCGTTTTGTCCTTCGCCCCTTGGTCGGAGATTGAACAAGAAAGTTTCGAAATCAGGCGAAATGGTGCAGCTTAGCCATTTGTGTTCCTCAAACATTGTAACACAGCTCAACTAGGATGTTGATGTTTCCAGGTGCGTGTGCGTGTGCGTGTGCGTGCGTGCGCGTGTGTGTGTGTGCGTGCGTGCGTGCGTGTGTGCGTGTGTGTGTGTGTGTGTGTGTGTGTGTGTGTGTGTGTGTGTGTGTGTGTGTGTGTGTGTGTGTGTGTGTGTGTGTGTGTGTGTGTGTGTGTGTGATTGTTTGTGTGTGTGTGTGATTGTTTGTGTGAGTGTGTGGGTGTGTGGTGTGGGTGTGTGTGTGTGGGTGTGTGTGTGTGTCTGTGTGTGCGTGTGTGTTTGAGGGTACCCTGTTTGGAATGCTTTGAAGGGGAAACAAACTGGAAAGCCGAATCACATCTCATCCAAATGCACAGCTTGTTTTTGTTTGTTTTAATGCCGCCGCCAGTCAGGAGTTCCAATTGTCCAAGACGTCACCCCAGAACCTTCCATAAGCGATGGTCACGAGGATTTCCTCTCACCGTGATCCTGGGAGCAACGCCTTCTCCAAAATTCCCATTTGCACGCCTTTTTCCGCTGGTTGGGTTCCCTGCTAAGCTGAGAGTGGCTCAACACGAAAGAGCCAGAGTTTTAGTCCTTGTTTGCATTCGCCAAGGTGCGAAATTGGCTACGATTCTTTTAGCAACCACCAGCTCAGCAACAGCAAAAGGGCCTGTCCTTCCTTTCCCTTGTGAAAACCACAGGGCAGATACTGCATCCGACGAATCCCGACAGAACTGAACACAAAAAAACCAAAAGGTACCATCGCGACGGAGATTCCTTTGCAAACGGCTTTCTGTTTGTGGTCCTCTCTTGCCGACGGCACGGTCTTTTTTTGTTTTTGTTCCGTGGAACAAATACCATGAGAGGGGTAGACCGCTATGGCCCCCAACAGGACCGCAATGTGTTTGGAGTAATTGTGCCAAACCTTTCTGAATGGCTTTGAAAAGGAGATCCCGTTGTTGCCAGGCTGAAGTCAGCCCTGTTTTTACGTTGCCCTCTTGAGTTTCCGAGTTTCCCCCAACTCGCTTTCCCATTTACCAGCAAGTGAACACTTTTGGCAAGGTGTCAGCTCTCCTGCAAGGTATCATGGAACCCAAAAGAGCCTCGCAAACGCAAAATGTGCAAATTATATTTTTTGGTTTCGCGGAAATCTGCAGGAGAGTAAATGCGACCCCCCCTAAGATTCAAACCACGCCAAGCCACCAATCCAGCCCACCCTTCTAATAGACGCATGCTTCTAAGAAAGTGTCTAAGCGGGTTTATCCCAAAATCGTGCCCCATTTCCTAAAATCGCATGGGTGTCCTCTTGGTTTCTCTTTGGCAACCAAAAGGGGGTCCACTATTTTGAGGACCCCTCCTGTTGTTCACACAGCTGAAATCAAAAGAATGGCGATGGCAAGGGTTTCCTTGGTTTCCCTTTAAGAAGCCAACTGGGTGTCCGAAATTTAACTTCCAAGTGCACATTTGGCCGTGGTTCCTCTTTTGGAGTTACTCCTTGTTGGCAAGGCAAAGCCAAAAGTCTAGGGGTTGCCATCGTTCTTTGCAATAACCAGCCATTTCCCCAGGGCTTTTGGTGGTTTTCTAGAAAGATTCGGATCCCTGGAAAGAATGCTTACAACCATGGTAAGTGGGGTTATAATCATGGTTATTGCCCGCTTACCAAGTACCCTGCCCCTTCAAGTAGAACAAGGCTTTCGCCGAAGTGCCGCCAAATCTTGGGGCTCCGAGGCTCCGAGTCCTCACCCGAAAAAAAGCGACGAGCGGAGGTGTCTTACCTCACGACCGGGTCCGCCACTGCCCGTGTGGCGGCGCCCGGGTGCTCAGTGCCGAACATCACCTCTGAGGATCGATGCGGTTTCGGCGCCTGGGCCGGGGTTTCGGGGCGGGCCGGGGGGGGTGGGTAACTCCGAAAATACATAGGGCTCCCCTACAATGGTTGGTTTCCGTTTTTGGTATGTGCTGAAAATTGGGATTTGGTTGCCCCCCCCCCAATTGGTTCTTCCTTTTGGTTTCCCTTAATCAATCAAAAGCACACACCCCTTTTGGAGGTGGGTGAACTTCTCAAATTAAGTGGGGGTTCCCTGAAATGAAATAGGGATTTGGAGCCCAACAATTGGTGGTCCCTTTTGGTTTGCCTTAAAAGTGTACCCTCAACCAACAAACTCACCCCTTTGAAGTTGATACGTGTACAGTTTTAGCTCGGGCTGCGAAGCGCTACTGCAAGTGCTTGACAGCCCTAAGGGTTCTGAGGTGCAAGCTTACCTGTATGATTTTTGGGGTTGTGAATAGTTGTGAACGAACATCAAAGATAAGCCACCCGTGTTGTGTTTTTGTTGGGCTCCCTCATTTAGTGAAGGATTTCCAAAAGACTCCTGACTCGGGAATCCTCAACACGGGGTCCCTTCCCCTTTTTCCTCTTCGAGTAAAAGGGAAATGTTTGGGGGGGATTTTGTTCCCACAGGAAATGACTCCTTGTTCCCTCTCGTTTTTTGCAAACAAGCTATGGATGGGAAGACAAACACCGGATTCCCTTCAGGATAATACTCCCTAAATGGTAAACAAGAGGCCGCTGAAATGATTGTAGAGATCAAACCGCAGAGTGGCACGTGACAGGAATTTCCAAGGCAAGGCTCACAGAGTTGACAGCGAGTCATTTGCTTCCAGGAACTTAGCACGCAATTCCTGAGAGGCCGAGGTATGTAGAACACAAGGCTCGTCAACTGGAGCGGATTGGCCAGAAGAAAACCGGCGGCGAGTGAGCCACGTTTTGGTGCGTGACTGGATTGATTCGTACATAGTGAAGGGATGGGTTGAACTGAAGTGGGTAAGTGTGGCAAAGTGGGATGTTTGCTGGCACCTTTTGCAACAGAGAAAAGGCCATATTTGCTTTGTATTGCACTGCCATGCCACAGTTGGACCTTCCTTTTTGTGTGCCCTGGATTGCTTGCAGGAGGAAGAGGAAGAAGAGGAGAAGCAGAGCGTGTTTCCATTGGCACCTTGCCAAGATGACTCCGGCAACAGTTCCGACGACCTGTGCCGGCCCTTTTAGAAGGAACCAAGAACCCCAACATTCAACCCAGGAATAAGAAGTCAAGGCAAGATTGATGTACTGCTGGTATATAGTTTGAGATGCAACACCGTGCAATAAAAGCTGTACAGCCCTACGGATTCCCATCATGCGCATCAAGCTTTTCCCCGTGCAGATCGCCTCTTGAAGACGCCGTGGGATCCCTCCGCGAGGTTTTGGACGATCCCTCCACTGACATCGTGGACGACCACTGGCTCCACCCCTGCCAATGCGTCCCCGCGAGCTGGGGCTCGGAAGCTCCCGTCAAAGGCTCGCGGCGCGCGGTTGCCGTGACGCCGTGACGGCTTCGCCGTTGGGACATGGGAGGCGTCCTTGTTGGTGGCTTCGCTAGGAAATGGATGGCGATCCTTGGTTGACCTGGTAAACCACAATCGACCAGGGATATGCATCTATGTTCAACCAGAAGGACACCTATGACATGGCTGCACTCCCTTTTCACCTTGGATTCAATCCATGATTATCCAACTAGAAAAAAAGACCAAACAAAAGCAGCCCCAGCTTGGGAAGTCACGTTCAATTCAACACCCAGCAGGCTATGAAATACCTTTCGCTGACAAGAGTGTCGCATCGATTTGCAGCCTGCCTTGGCAACCTGTGATGCCTTCAGTGAAGCAGCCAGCTGAGCGTGGAGTCCTTGCCCCGGAGACGCACACACACACACACACAGACACAGACAGAGACACAGACAAAGACAAAGACAAAGACACAGACGCAGACACAGACACAGCCACAGACACAGATACAGGCACAGGCACAGACACAGGCACAGGCACAGACACAGACACAGAAACACACACACAAACACACACACACACACACACACCCACCCACCCACCCACCCACCCACCCACCCACCCACCCACCCACCCACCCACCCACCCACCCACCCACCCACACGCACGCACGCACGCACGCACGCACGCACGCACGCACGCACGCACGCACGCACGCACGCACGCACGCACGCACGCACGCACGCACGCACGCACGCACGCACGCACG